TCAGCCCACACGATTATATCCGCAAAACAGAGTGCTTTCTAATATTGTATCAATATAGCCAAAGCAAAATCTATCAATACAATAGTGTGAGGAGCACTCAAAAAACAATACCTTCTTAATGATCTCAATAGTTTTTGTTTAAAGATATCGAATAGATTCTCTTTACCCTTTGGTATGCTAACAGAAAGGAAGTGGGGTGTTTATTATTACTTTAAATTATTTGTTTTCAATAATAAGGATAATTTGAATAACAGTAACAATTCAACAAATTTTTCTAAAATTGTTCAATCAATTAAGCAACTTCAAAAAAAAATTTGTAATTACTTCCATAGACAAAGCTAACAATAATCATGCAATCTTCTGTAAAAAATTCTATGTTGAACTTTTAAATACAGAATTAAAAAATAGTAAAAATTTTAAACTTAGTAATTTAAATAATAATATTATCATTAAAAAATTTTTGCTTTATATAAGAGATTAAAAATTAAAATTAGCAATATGCAATTTCCTTACTTAATTATCAGTCCTAAATTTCATAAAATTCCAGTAAAATTTAGAACTATCACATGTGGGTCTAATACTTATTTAACTAAACCTGGCACCATTTTCTCTGACTACTTAAATAAGATTATTAACAATATTACTAAAGATGGTTTCTCTTGGATTATCACTAATAATCAACCGATTTTAGATTTCATTAAACATAATAAAATTAATTCTATTACGACTTTTGATTTCCAGGATATTTTCAATAGCATTCCCCTTTCTAAACTAAAGATGTACTTTTGAATTATTACTATGATTTTAAAAATATCCTCTGTTGCGATTTTGATTATTGGGAAATTCTGATTAATTTTTGTCTTTTTAGTAATAATCTTTACAATGGAAAGGATATTTTTCTTCAAATTAATGGAATACCACAGGGATCTAATTATTCATCTCTCTTAGCTAACTTATTTTTGCATTATTATGAAAAAAATTATACTCTTAGTATTAAATTTGTTTTTAGATATATTGATGACTTAATTATCTTTAATTTCCAAGATTATTCTATTTTATTAAATAATATTTACCTCGAGGAATTAATCTTGCTTCGTAATCATGATAATATTAATTTCAAATTTTTGGATTTGGGTATTATAAAAAAAAGAAAATATTTGCTTTGTTGATTTATACGATAAAAGAAATTATTTTAATTTCAATATAAATAAACTAATTACTTGGAATTCTAATGTTTCTATGAAAATATATTTAAATATCACTTTTAATGAAATGAATAGAATTAAAAGAATATGTAGTAGTACTTATTTATCCAAAAAACAAATAGATAAACTCTTTCAAAATTTGATAAAAAAACAATGGCTACCCAACAAAAGTAATAAAATTCTATATAAAGTCATTAAGTTAATTGTATATTATTGTAGATATATTTACTGAAAATTTTCTTTGTTAATTTAAATAATTTTTTCATGTGCAAATCTGTTTCGGGCAAATCCGTGACCTAAATTATTTACTAAAAAAATTCTTTGTTAATTTATATAATTTTTACCATGTGCAAATCTGTGGCTAATATATGCAAAACAGGCAATTCATGTTTCTTTTTCTTTCCTACTTTTTTTCTTAAATAAATATTTATTTTCTATAATTATTAATTGTCAACTCTTTAAATTATCCAGTATAATATTACCTTGCGCACATCCATTTCGGGCCCATCCTTGGTAAACAAATCAAATGCACTTCAGTAATGCAGTAAGAGCGGACTTTAATACAAAAATCCTCTCGTTACTCTTTTACCTCAATTTGCGCTTTTATTTTCAATTTTTGCAATCTGGCAATCTTGTTACGAAAATATTTTAGATCATTTTTGAAAAATTTCCCGTTCATGTAAGAAGTTCATTTGAATTCGCTGCTCGCTTTTTTGTTTCATGTTTTATTCTGTTTTTGCGTGATATTTTATTTTCTGTTTTTGCGTGATATTTTATTTGTTGCAATTTTTTTGCAAAATTTTTTGAGTGCTTCTTACACTATTGTATTGATATATTTTGCTTTGGCTATATTGATACAATATTAGAAAGCACTCTTTTTTGTGAATATAATCATGTGAGCTGATTAAAAGATTATATCTTTTATTTTCCGGATTTTTTTTAAAATTTCTGTCCTTTTTTTCGGATTGATTGATCTATTTTTTTCCTCCAGTTTCTTATTATTTTTATTATTATTTTTCTTTTATTTTTTCCCCTTCTTTCATTGTTCTGTAATTTTTCCCTTATTTTCTCTATATTTTGAACTTATTTTATGAATTCTATTTACTTGCAGCTTATGTGCAATAAATAAAACTTATTGTTTTTCTTAATTTTCTTCGTGTTTTTTTTATTTATTTATTATGCTATAGATAATTTTACTGATAAAATGAGAAATTTTTTTAAAAACAGCATCAGTTTTTTCATTTTTGAACTAAATTATTGCGGCCAATATGACTAAATAGGGGCGTGTCATTTCGTTAGTTCACCTGTTGTGCCCTTTACTCCAAAAAGGTTGTGTACCTCCTATATTAACCATAGACAATAAAGAGAAATTGTATATAAATTTCTTACATTCATTTTAGAAAAAGTTACATTAAATTACAAAAAAATACATTAAAAGAGTGTAATACATAGCTACCAACATGGGTAGAAAAAAATCCAGTAGATTTTACAAAATAATGTCAATTTATTATATATAGTGTTGTATAATGTTAATGTACTAAATTTTTTACACATAGAGAATTTCAGGGATTTTTATAGTAGAAAAGTAGAAAAATTGCAATATTTCCCATTTATGATTGACATTAAACATGCTTGAAATGTTATGTATTATGTATAATCATAATTTCAAATATTAAAAGGCTCAAAGCTAGTTAAAAGACTTTTTAAATTCATTTTAAAAGAGAGTTCTGAATAAAAATAAACTGAACATTTTATTAAAAAAAAGAAGTTTTGATCTGATTTCTATAAATGAGGTTCACTTCATTATCTATTAGAAATAAATATTTGAGCAAGCAAGCAATAATCTGTACAAAAATTCCATTTCAATAGAGATTTTGTTAGGAAACTTACTCAGTTTTAGCGAATTTTCAAAACCGTACATTAAACAGTAGAATTTTAATTAAACCAGTAGACCAGGAGAAATTGGAAAAATTCAGTAGAGTTGGCAGCTATGGTAATAGTATTTTAATTTCGGAAAAAATATTTTAATATCTAGTTTTTATATATATATATATATATATATATTTANCATTACCTTAGAAGACTGTTCCAATTTGTCTTGATCGGGTCTCACAAAGAGTTCGTATTTTATAGCGTCTTCAGTACTGAGGGGAGGAGACTTCTCAGGTGGTGCGGGAGAACTTTTAAAAACCTCCAGCTGTGATACAAGTTTCCTGCAAAAATATACAACTTTTTAAGGATAAAATATAGAATAACAATAAAAAAGAAAATCCCTACACTATGCCAGTTGCAAGCAAAATTTTATTGTTACACATTAATTTTGACATTCCAACAGGGGTAATTGTGAGCCCAACTCAAAAATCCTGAAATTTTCTTGATTAAATTCTTTGATGATGCATTTCAAAAAAATTTATGTCTTCGTAAATTTAAATGAATAGTTAGTTATACATAACTATAATTATAAGGTTTACTTTTATCTCTAATCACATTTATTATTCTACCAGAAAAAATATTTACAAATAAAAGAGATGCCAAGTACAAATTCTAGATCTAATATTTTTTAATAAAATATACAAGAATTTTTATACATATATGTGATCAATGTTTTCTCGTAACTTCTTGACCACAGATTTCCGAAAGCTTCCGAATCACGTTTAGCAAAAAATCCAGATTTTTTTCGGAGAAAAATCATCTCTGTTCCAATAAAATTGTTTACATTATACATTGCAGGTATGCAATGTTATTTTTGTATTTTATTTCAACCAAATGATTTAGTACAGCATTTAAAAATTTGAATAAGAATTATAAGAACATAAGCATAAGAATATAGGCATACGAATTATAAGCATGAGAATTGCAACCCATTGCTGGTATCCTACATTAATTTCATGTTAATCAAGCGATTTTTCGAAAATTATTGGAATTGCATTCATATAAGTTGAAATAGCTATTTTATGCAATTCTCGACAATTATTAGAAAAGATAAAATTTAGATAAATAAAAGTTCACAGGCGCACAAGAAGAAAGTTCATAACAGGAAAGTGGTGTGCAATGACCGTTCTGGCCATGTTCTGCGATTCAATTTTCAATTTTGTAACCATTTAACTATTTTGTTAGCCTTTTAAATATAAAATTAAATCAAAATAGAAAAATTACTTTAAAGTAATTAATTGAATTCAAAACACTTATATGCTACAAGTACTATACTGCAAGAAAGTTAAGGAAATTTTGCATCTGGCCTTTTTACATAGCATCACTCAATTCAATAATTACAATATTCATTTCTAAAACAAGGAAAAATTTCAGAAACATGCGTGAAATGAATCTTAAGAACATTCATTATAATTTCATATTTCTTTAAAAAACGTAATAATAATAAAACATGCAACAAGTGAAGTGGCAATCGAGCAGTCACAGACATACAATTTTCAATTTGTTATATTTCAATTTGCTTATGTAATTTTAAATTTGTTTAAGTCGCCCTCTGGTCATTTTACAAGTAAGCAAATTTTAGTGAATACAGTTGAACCTGTTTATCTCGAACCTATTTACCTCAAAAACCTCTATATCTCAAAATTTCTAAAAATCCCCACATTTCCTGCCTAAAATCTATGTATTTTCCATGTTTATGTCAATTTTTTTTCCCCTTCAAAACCTCCGTTTCTGGAATTTCTAATAATAGAGCATATATGTCAAAACTTTCTTTATCAGTAGAACTTGCAGGCAGAGATGAATTTCGTGAATCTACAGGAAGTAGGGATTAACAGGTTGGGGGTGTTTCTTGGAATTTCAATCACTATCCTTGCACTTCATTAACTAGAAAGGAATACAATGATTCTGGCAGTAAGTGAGGGGTTAATGAATAGTGACCACCAGAGGTTAGCTTTTCAACATAGATAAGAAGGCTAAGAATAGAAATTCATTTTTACTTCAAAATTGCAACCCATGGATCAAAGGATAATTAGGAGTTTTAAAGTGAATTATAGAAAACAGTTGGCACGCAAATTTGTAGATGCCATGGATGAAATAAGTTCTATTCCAAATGTAAAGATGTTAGATGCTATCAGAATGACTGTTTTGGTTGGAGAAATGTGTCTAAAAACTATCCAAAATGGTTTTAAAAAACTGGTTTTAAGAATAGTTGTGAAGATGATGAACAAGAGGTTGAAGGCATTAGTAAAGAAGAATAAACTGTTAACGTTGAAAATGCAGTGCCAGATTTGCCAGAATGGAATGCAATAAAATTTGGATTTAATGTTAACATTAATTTTGAAAATCTTTACAAGTGGACAACTGCCTGGCAACATGCGGAACATTGTTAAATGTGTGTTCAAAACAATTCATGCAAATAGATGTATGTGGTATAATTTTAAGGAAATGCCAATATTTTTCTACTAAAAACAATTAAAGCACTTTCAATAAAATTTATGTTATAATTTCATGTGTCTCTAAACTTACCTACTAAACAAGGCAATATTTGTAGATCAATCTTAAATTACTTTAAATACAAATATACTTTTAAAAACTTATTTACAGGAAAAAGGTGAAATTTTCTTGAGCATTACAACAAATAGAAAAAAATATATCAATTAACTTTTGCTTAACTTTTAAAATCTAAGAAAATAATGTTCTCAATTAGTTACAGAATTCTCTCAGAAAAAAAAATGCGGTTCACGGATATTTACCGTTTAATCTTCCATTTTTAATATTGATATATTAAACAGTTTGGGAAAATATTATTTAAAGCATATTGCAATCATTAAATTACTTAAAAAATAGTTTTAATACTTGAAAAAGTGTTTCTTTGATTTGGGTTGGAAGAAATTTAATTCTAAAATGGGGACAGTTTTTTCCACTGTGGCAAAAATTCCCGTTTTGATTTAATAATTAAGAAACAAAAACTGAGAAAACTGTAAAGAAACAAAAAATACAGCAATTGTGGAGATAGTTGGCTTGGGCTAAGTAAGGAGGCAGCCGAACGTTTAGTTTATTCGGATAAAATATTAAGAGTGAAACTAGAATGAAATCATTTTTTTAATTATTAAAATATTTGTGCGATAATTTTTGAACATTTAACATTAGTAACATTTGAATAGGCTGACAAAGATGAAAATAAAACTGAATAAGTAGTTATTATAAAGTCAACTAGATTTTTACATGTTGGAAGAAAGGGCTAACTTAAATAAATTCAGTTTATATGTTAATTGATCAATAACTTCGTTATTCCTTTGTGCAATAATCAATTCATCCTAAAAATTGTATAATATTTTAGAATTAAATAACGATTATGCATTTAATCTTTATTAATAGAAGCAAGATTTCAAACTTCTCTATAGAAGCATTTGTTTTATTACCTTCCTCACTGTACACAAGTTGTATTCATGTACACTTTCCATTTAGAAATAAATCCTTCTACTATACTTTTTTTTTAAACACGTAGTAGTGCGTCTATCACTACAAAAATACAATTCCAATTCCCTGGTATATAAGACATGTTAACTAGACTCTACTTGGGGGTACCTTTTCATAGATGAAGGTTGACATTGTCGTTAACTACCTTCTACACATTGGTGACCCGGACGTGGTGTAAACACGCCTACCTTGACAGAAACTCTTACTTAGATTTGAATATGCCTAACTTGACAGAAACTCCCACTTTGATTTAAACACGCCTACTGCGATGGATGGTCCACATTGAACAGTTGACCAGCTACTTGTGACTGCAACATTATCCACCTCCTCACGCTGTAGCTACTCAGTCTTGATCACACACAATGCTGACCTGCATACACTCGACTGCTAACGGCAACACAAGAGCAACCATGACCGTGAACTTAATACAGCTCTCACGATCAGCAAAAAGTACGGGTGATCTTAATACAGTTCTCCCGGCCTTTTAACTAGTCGTATCTCATTAAATCACAGGTAAAATTCTGGTGGGGGAGTACTATAGTGTAACTACCATTACAAAAATACAATTCCGAGACATGTTCACTCTATTCTACGTTAGAGCACCTTTTCATAGATGAAGGCTGACATTGTTGATAGCTCCACACATGCTTTAGATTTTTTTTAAAAAATGATTCTCAAAATATATTTGAAATTTTAAAGCAGTCAAGCCTTTTTTACACCTTGAATAAATTTGTAAGTTATCATTAAATGAAACTAAATTCCTCAGTTCTCAAATTGCCTTGTTTTTTTTTCCCTTGTGGCCCTCTCCAGAAAAAGAATGTGTAATTCTAAATCAATGCCTCAACACTTTAGCATAATTCTTCCATAAACAAAGACTGAATCTTGGCATTTCTTGATAGATTAAAAGTCACTAACATTACAAACAACTTATGAATAAGTGAGAGAATATACTTGTGCAAAGATCCTAGGGGATCAGACATTTCAGCAATAGCTTCGGAACCGAGAACTTTCTCCATGTGAAATTCTTGCAATTCTTTCTGAAGATCCTCAATCTGTTGAAAAAGGACTATTGGAGGTAATTCACTTCCTTTATCAGATGATTCCTAAAATTAAAACTCATTTAGTTTACAGCTGACAGTATTTTCAACATCTGGATTTTTCCATTACTCAACATTTCTATACAATCAAAAAAGCTTCCTGAAAATTTTACAGCCATTTTGTTTAATTGTGTAGGTAATTAAATACTTTCCAGCTAGCAGTTTTGGTTTACAAAATTAAATTATTTATCGTTCAAAATAATTTAACTAGTAAGAGTAGTTCATTTATTTTTTATTTTAGTTTTGTCAAATACAGTTAAACTCATTTAAAGGAATACTATTGGTTCCAGACAACTCTATTCAATTAGACGGGTTATTGAATGAACATGGGAGTGCATTATTCAATATTAAGCACAAAATTTTAATGACTTTTTAATGGTATTTAATGCAAAGCAAAATGTTTCGATTAAATAAACTAAATATATACAGGGGTCTGTTTAGAAGAAATTTGGGTCAATTAACGGACCCTTCACAAAATATCTTCTCATAAAAACTGACCCTTCACAGAATATTTTAACTTAAAAACAGATCCTTCACAAAATAATTTATCTTTTATACGGAAGCCCTTCACAAATTTTTTTATCTTCATTATTGTTTTGTTACTTGAATAAATCCTTCCCAGGGGGAAGAAAAAAGAAATTCAGATGTAAACAAATTAAGTTTTGTTTTCGGCAGATGCTTCTTCCATTATTCGTCCAAAATGAACATTCTGCGTTCAGCAGTATAGGCTAAATACCAAATATTTGTATATTGCATTTCTAATTTAGTAGCAGCAATTGCTGTTTATTTTTGAAAATGTAATTTTTTAAAATTACAATTTTAAAGTGTTGAGCATAATCTTTTATCTATTTACAATTTAAAAACTCCTTGAAATTTTTTTTTTTGCAATAATAGGACCTTATTTGCACAAATTCACAAAAGCAGGACCCTGGTTGAAAGAATGTGACTTAACATTTATTTTATATTCACAAATTACGAGTAATTTTTTCACAATTTTACAAAAACATGACCTTTCACAAAATGTCTGGACAGACCCCTGATATAATACAGAGTGAAAGAAATCACCTTTCTACATTCTAAACTATATGTGACAGAAGTGAGTCAAGGTAAAATCCCTTTGATTACTTCAATATATTAAACTATTATTACATTAATTTCTAAACTATTTACTAATTTTTAAACCTCTAGTTAGAACTGCAAATGAGCAGGAAGTCCTAATTGACCATCTGTTGCCTTCTTATCTTTGAAATTAAGAGATGGAAAATCCATGCTAGCTGATGAAACATTTCTTAAAAATATATATATATATACCTATTCTTACATTTCAGTACCTTTTATTTATGCAATTGGAAATGGAAACAACTAACCATTTAAATGAAGAAATTTGAATTTTATTTGTATAAGCGAGCCCCGTAGCAGAATCACAGCAACATGGTGACATTGTTGCAGAATGTTACAGAGTTCTTGCAGAAAGAATTTTCTTTTGAAAAGTAAAAAATTTTAATTTTCTTTTCTCAAGAAATTTGCACGTAAAATTGGCGTGCATGATTTATGGCGTTAGTATCGTAAATCGATGTAATGTATCGATTGTAGTTTTGACAGTTATTGATATTGATTTTCCCGCTGTTTTAAAATATCACGATACATTTCAAACAATATGGGAAATTCGCACCACGCATTTGTGTATTTACTTTTAATGCAATGATTCTATCGATTTTTTCGCTGTTATTGCTACTGATTTCTCCATAGTTTTTAAATTTGATATTTTTTATACGATATTATTTATTACAGCAACTCAAGCTCGAAAAGAATTTGAGTAATCCTTTTTCGAGGAATCCGATCAAAGTGAATTCGTCGTCAATAATTTTTTCGCAATTACTACTACGGAATCCATGATTTTTAAATACTTTTTTCATTGTGATGCTTATTTACAAAATGCAAAGAAGGAAATAATTAATGCTTCCCCCTCAACAAAATGCGAGAATATCACTCATAATATTAGAATAAAAAATTATTACATGCTTAATTAAGATTTTTTTTTTTTTGTAAACACAACGTTTTTGTTATTTTAAATTAGTAACAAATATGTTTGTTATTATTTAAAGTATCTCGCAGAAATATATTAGAGCTACAGAGTTTTGTCGCAGGTAGCTCAAAAAAATGTTGCCACAGGGTAAGCGGATTACTTGATTATCTGAAATGCATGGGAACAACTGGACTGGCATTAGTTAAACTTATGAAATTTATGCAAGAAGGAAGACAAAAAAAAAACATTACATTCAAGGTTTGCAGATTGTGTGCAACCTTATATTACACTACAAGAATACTTTTACACAAAAAGAAAAACTACATACTAAGATGAGTTAAGAAAAAAAAAACTAAGTGAATGTAAAAATTTTTTTTAATTTAATGGAAGATTTTAAAATAGTTTTGGCAGCGTCCAAACTTTACTTACTTTCATAGCATTAACATCTTCAAAAAGCTTCTTAATTTCAAACTGAAGTCTGTTATAAGTTTGAAGGGGGGTTTCATTCTCTTTCAAATTATCACCCACCTGGAAAAAAAAGTTTTTACACATGCGTCATTTCAAAGAAAACATAATAAAAAGTCTTACGAAAACCAAGCGGTGTTTTAGGCTTGTTTTCTGTGTTTCTTTGAGATTATTTTTAAATGAATAACCGCAGATCTGTATTTGTAAGATAATGGTTTTTCTTCAAAAATTTTAATTTTAAAAATTTAAACCTATATTTCAGAAAGAAAAAGAAAATCATTTTATGGATTTGTGAGTGAAGAGGATAGAAATTTAGATCAAAGTCTGGAAACAGTGTCGGCTTAAAAATATCGAAGCATAATGTAGCCTTTAAAAGCAACGAAATCGCTCTTACAATAAAAAAAAATTATGGATGTAGGTAACTAAACGAAACTTTAAAAAAATTTTTATAGAAAAAAAAAGCATTGAAAATGATTAATTTCAAACATGATGAAGAACCCGCCCGGATTTAATTGGGTGGGCGAAAATAAATTTTTTTTTATTAAAACTTATTGATGCACATTTAATTTTTATATAATTTACTGGGCAACATAAATTTGTCAAATAGAGTTGCATGATTTAAATAATTAAGTTTTAAGTATTTGTAAAGTAAAAGAAACACAAATCTGTAGTTTTTAAGTACTATTGAAAACTTAAGTGGGTTTTTTCAAAAAGTAATATTTTAATGAAATTAAATCAAATAGAAATTTAAATTATATAAACTGAAAAGATCAATTTTCAAATATAGTTGCATGCTTTATACATTAATAAACAAGTTATTATTATTAATTCATATGCTTAAAAAAAATTGAAAAGAAACATTTTTTTTCTTTTTTTANTAATTTTTTTTTTTTTTTTTTTTACTAAGTGATACATTAACAAATCTAAACAGTTTTATTTTCCGGCTTTAAAAAAAATGAGCTAAAACTTTTTATAAGAGAACTTTTAAAAAATTATTTATCTAAAAAGGAAATCATTTTCGTAGTGTTAATTATTTGAAGAAAAAAAATGGTACAAGTAACTGATACTCTTTATAATTATACACAATTTTAATTTCACTTTCTATTAATCTTATTACAAAAACATAAAAGACCATTAAATATTTATTTCAGTTTCTTATTGAAGTCAAAAGTCAGATGAATTTCAGTTTTTACTGATTATAAATATTTACTGATTATAATTTTATAATAGGTAAATATATATGTTTAATAAATATAGTAAATAAATGTATGTGAAAACAAAAAGATTAATAAACTTGCTTCTTTTATATTACTGCATTTATATTTCATAATGCTTGAGTTAAAAATTGTGAAACATTATAGGCTTAGCAATAAAAAAGATTCAAGTATGTATTTGATAGTGCGTTATTTAAACTTAATTTAAAATACATATAACAAAATTAAAATAACTTTTTGGATTTATTCCTATTTTTAAGCTTATACAACATTTTTTAACCTAAAACGTTTACATTCTGCAGAAAACATCAGGATTTCTTAAAATAACTAAGATAAATCTATATAGTTTATGTTATTAATGATTTCAAGAAGCCAGGAAAATGACAACACAAAAACCTACTCATCTTGAAATATTTTTTGAAATAGATTTTGATCCAGAAAATTGGTTCTTTATTCATGCAACATATAGGAGGGTATCTAATTAATCTATTAACATTAGATATTGATTGCTGACTATCTATTTTGATTATAAACCACTAAATAAAAGTAGCCAGGAAAATGACAGATATTCTTGCGACAAACAAATTATTGACAGAAAAAATTATTTTAAAAGAAGTTTTGGGAAATAATACCCTTTGCGTATATTCTAGAAATGCTTACAACGGTTGAAATAAAAAAAATTAGACATTGAAAAATTTACGGGAAGTTTGAAGCTAGTTATTATTAGAAACACTGCTTGGGACATGCCAGGAAAATGACATTTTGAAGTTCAATTAAATTTTTTAACTATACAAAACAGTCAATGCTAGTGCAAAGTCATTTTAAACTGCTAACAGCAATGCAATTTATTAATTTTTTTTTTTTAAAAAAAAAGTTCTTTTAGTATTATAGTATTTGATCTTGGAGCAAGGGACAGTGAATTGTCATATTTCGTGAGAATCACCCATATATATATATGCCTGTTTTGGATCATTTTTTATGACCTTATATAGTATTATTCAAAAAGTTGAAATAAATTCAAACTTAATGAGTAAAAATTATAATAGAATTTTTATTATATAAGTAATCACCAAATAAAATTTTAAATTCTAGATATATGATTTACAAAAAATGAAAATTAACATCAAAACCCTTTAAATATTTATTTTTAATTGTATCTTGAAAACAATGAAGCTTAAACATGAAAAATTTTACATTATTTTCGCAGAACATTCCAATTTTAACAACAATCCTATCCTACTTGATGACCCACAAAGGGTTTTTGCAAGATAGTTTTAATTTTATATCAAAACGTCTTTTATAAGAATTTTAAAAAGAGTTTAGAGCATTCAGATCTTCTATAAAGAGGTTCGTAATATCGGCTTCATTCAGAACAGAGGAAAGAATTTCACTCTGAAAGGGCGGAGAAGAAATGTCTATTTTGGAGCAATTCATTCGAATTTTAACAACTATTTAATGTATTCATTTTAGTGACAAATAATTAATAGTTATATCATAAATAATTTAGACTAACAAATAATAAATTAAAAGGGGTTTGTACCATTTCCCAATCTCCAGATCTAACATCATAGCCAGTTTTTTTTCTGTGACCAATTCCATCAGTGAAATCTATTAAAGGAAAATTTAAATCAGTTACCAAATTCATTTAGGAAATAATTAGCCTCTTCTCAAAGCATTTATTTAAATGTCATGAATCAAAAATAACATGACTAATACAATGTTCAAATTTTAGTTGATTCTCCCCTTTTCATATTAATGTCTTGTTGTATAACACTTTAACAATTTCTATACTTTTTTTTGTTGTCAAAAATGCATTAATTCAATTGTATTTCATTATTATATATATTCTACTCGATATTCAATAAACCATTTTATTATTATTTTTTTTTTGTGTGTGTTTTTTAAAACAAAATGTCAAATAATATTTGAAGCCCTTCACTGAAATTAATTAAACCATTCCAAAGTATTTAACTATTTCTTTGAAATGTTAATGTGTTCGATAAAAAATTCAAAAATATGCACTTTTGTTCCTTAAATATGCTAAAATAATAATGAAAAAAAGGAATGAATACTTTGAATATGCTTTTGTATTACTCCACTTAACATGCAAAATAAGGATTCAACATTTAAAGAGATTCTTCACCCCTTTGCTTGTCCCTAATAAAAATGATATACTTCAGTATTCATTATCATTATTTAACTCAATACAATTTATTTAAGTTTTATAAAATATAATTATCATTTTTAACACTAGATTGCCCAAGGAAGTCATTTTGACTGCTTTTTAATTTCAATTAGAAAAACAATGACGAATATAATGACACAATTTCTTAGAATTTTGTGACATTTTGAACAAAATATAAATTGTTCTTATTGTTAATATTTACTAATAACTTGTTATATAACTGTAAATAATATAAAAAATATTAAAAAACAAATTTTAAACAAATTTCTTAGTTATTCTTTCGCAATCCAGTCATTTTGTCAGCTTTCGGGCAATATAGGTGTATATACTACTAAGTTTCAGTCTTTCCAGAGTTTTAAAAAAAATCATTGAATTTTAATCTATTGACTTTCCATTTTTTTT